GGGTGGGGGGTGGGGGGGGGGGGAGTGGGTTGTAGGAGAACACTTCCTGACTACACACATACAGCCCACATGTTGTTGTACTGCGTACTGTAGTTTTGTTAATAGCAGTGTTGTGTAAACTCACCGGCCCACCAGTGGTCCTTGAGCCACTGTTTGAGAACCATAGGTTTGATACCAAAATACCTACAGTACAGTAGATGTGCACGTGTGTGTTCATGTGTCAGTTCTGTTCTTATAGGTTGGTTTAACGTTGGTGTGATTGCCCCCTGCTGGCAGTCACAGGAATATAAATCAAAGTTTACCTTTAGACCTTTGTCTAAGGAGACGGTCGTCTGTGCCAGGATGACGAGGTCACGGCTGAACCCAGCAGCTGAGTCCACTCTGTGTCCGCTCTGTGTCCACTCTGTGTCCACTCTGTGTCCACTCTGTTTTCTGATTGATTCCTCTGTTATTTGCTGTGTCTTTATGAGTCCTCTTTGGTCTGGACCTCGTGGAGACTCCAGGAAAACCATTTTATTGTGCCTCTGTCTTTTCTTCCAACTCCACTAACAGTTGATCGCAGCAGTGTTGCCATGGCGATAGCCTCTTTTTTTGGTATCCTGGGCACACTGAGGCAGAAACCTCTGAGGCTACCCATGATTTATCTGGGGCTATAAATGTGACTGTATACTTATAGTAGTCACTGTGTCTCCACTGGTGCTGTGTACCAGTGTACGCTCACACACAGACAACAGGTCGGTCTACAAACAGCTAACATTTATACAGCTAACATCTATACAGCTAACATTCATACCGTTAACATTTATATAGCTAACATATATACAGCTAACATTCATACAGCTAACATCTATACAGCTAACATTCATAAAGGTAGGATTAAGATTTTTTTGGTTAAGGTTTTCTGACAACTATGTATTGGGGGGGGAGGGTTGCGATGCCTCTCCCCCAGTGTGTGTGTGTTGTTGTTGTTGTTGTTTCTCTGTGACATGAACTCTGTGTTTGAGGATGTGTTCTGTCCTAGATCCTCAAACTGCTGCTGTTTCCCAGAAGGCCGTGTTTCTCTGTCCCAGTTCTTCTTCTTCTGTGGAACACACCACGCTCCACTGACAGAGAATATCTGTGTGTGTGTGTGTGTGTGTCAGTGATGGACTGACCACCTGTCCACCGTCCACACCCACCTTTGACAGTTTCAGTTTGGGGGGGTCGGGGGGGGTGATGTAGAGGACGTATTTAATTGTGTGTAAATGTTAAAGTTACCAGTTTACTCTAGTATTAATGAAGTCAATCTGACCAGTACCTGGTAGTGGAGTACCAGTCCACCAGGGACCACTTCCTGTTTGCACTGTGTGACATGAGGTCACACGTGGTCTCCATGGTTATACTGCGTCTATGTAGTACTTTGTCCTGGTACTACTACTGTTTGTATTTCCCAGGAGGACAGTGGTGAGACTGAAGGTTCTGCAGGTTTACTTTAATACCTCAGCGACAACAGCAGGGGGTGCTAGTGTTTCTTTATTTATGCTTGTATTATGGCTGTCAATCAATCAATCAGTTAATCAGTTAATCAGTTAACCATTGATCGTTAACTGAACTTGTCTGTTCAGTTCTTTAACGTTTGTTAATCCCTGATGTCGTTGGCAGACCTTCCTGTCTCGTCTCTGCCGTACCAGTGTGGACCAGCGGGCCGTCTGTCTTCCCCACCTCTGGTTAAGAGAAGCCCCGGGCCCAGAACATGTCACCAAAAGCCTGCAATCAAACCCCGGCCTCAGACCTCCACCACGCCCAGACCTCCGTCCACACAGAAACCTCAAGGTAAAGAACTGAGACGGAGACACGACCAGCTGAGACGGCTGCTGGTACTGGTACTGGTACTGGTACTGGTACTGGTACTGGTACTGGTACTGATGCTCTGACTGGAGACACAGAGCAGGTCCCAGATCAGTTTAAATAATACACACACACAGGGCTCTGTCACCGAGAGGTCAGGGGTCAAAGGTCAGGACACTGTCAGGGAAGTCATAATTCAGAGTCAGGAAAGACCGGGACAGGAAGTGGAGCTGCAGGTCCACTGAGGTCAAAGCCAGGTTCTGTCACGTATCCAACAAAAACTCTGCTCAGTACACGTTGTACTTTTACACACTCGCAGTATTGTACAAATACATACAGTTCTGACAAAGTAGTATATTTAAAATTCTTAAATAATATATAAAATATATTGATATATATTACATATATATATATATATATTCTTATACCGTATTTTTCGGACCATCAGATGCACCGGGTTCTAAGGCGCATTAAACGAAACAAAACCAGATCAAGATCGAGACGATTTGTGGGAAAGGGTAGTGACCTAAGTTGGACACTAGAGGACGCTGTTGTTGTTCGCCCCTCCAGAGTCAGGCGGTCGTCACTGGATGGTCACCGTATTGTTGTTTTGACGCTGTTCCGTCTGGAAGTGCGGATGTTGTTTCACAGAGAGAGAGTGTGATTTTCCTGGATCGATAAAAAAAAAAGGAGAAATAAAAAAAGTTTTTGACCACGAAAAAAACTGACAGTCATGCGTCTGAGTCGTCCTGCATCGCACCATACATCGACGCAGCGTAGAGTCTCCGGGTGTTGGGAGACACAACCGTACTGTAACAGTTGTTGTTGAGCGTCTTCTGATGGTGATAACAGTTAAAGGTCATCGTTGGCTCCCATTGGGCGTCAGTTGTGTGACATCATGTGTGATGTGTGGTTTGGCTTTAAAAAATCAACCAAAAGTAATACATAAGGCGGACTGTGGATGTTTGAGAAAATTAAAGGCTTTTAAGTACGGAAAATACGGTAGAGATACAAATATATGAATGAATAAAAAGTGAATTATTGAAACATGTCTTTATCTTTAAAAGTGACTGAAATGAGACATTTTTCACAGTAGACACAGTACACACAGTACACAGTACACACAGTAGACTCAGTACTCAGTGGACTCAGTACTCAGTGGACTCAGTACACACAGTAGACTCAGTACTCAGTACACAGGGTGTTACTGATGACACCTCTGTTACTCTGTTTCTGTCGTTTTGTAAACTCTCTGAAACCACAGCAGCGTCAGTATCAGACCAGCATCCTGTTCTGAAACAAGGAAGTCACACACACACACACACACAGGCTCGTGATGTGTTTGACTCTGCAGCCGAGCTGCTGCCGTCGATCAGTGGACTAACGTGTGTGTGTGTGTGTGTGTTTGTTGTTCCGTCTTTGACCCCGTTGACCCGTCTGGACCGCTCCGTCTCCAGTACCCCCTAAACCCGCGCACCTGCTTGCCCTTGGGCAGGACAAGAAACCCAAGAGGATCCCTCCAGCCCCCTCCAGACCGTTGCCCGCCCCCCCCACTCCCATCAAGCCCAAACAGAACCTCGGTCCTGCTCCCCCAGAGGCAGCAGCAGCCGCAGCACAGAGGGACGTCCAGAAGGTGGGGCTGCTCATCGAGCGCTTTGAGAACTCCAGGTAAGGCCCGTCAGACGGGTTCTTCTGTCTTTACTCGCCGTCGCTCCTTCGTGTGATCGAACACTCGACAACACGGAAATTTGACAGAAAAACTCTCACAACATTCTGGTCAGAGTTTGTCCCTGCCCCACATCTTCACCCCCCCCCTCCCCCCCCCAAAACCAAAGGGTTAGTCAGTTACATGATCAACTTTGACTTTACACGGCAGCACAAACAGGAGTCGTGAAATAAATATGTTAAAAATCAAAATAACCCCCCCACACACACACACCTCCACAGGTGTGGCTCAGTGACACCAACAGCTCAGATTTGGTGTATTTGTGTGTACTTGTGTGTACTCATACTCCTGTGTACTATTAGATACAGCTCTTCGGTGAAGTACTCAGTGTCCGTTGTGAGTTTGTCGTTTTCTTTGGTTGAAAATGGAATTCTGTTCAGGAAGAGGTCTGTAGTTGAATTCCCTGCTCCTCCCCCTCCCAGAGTTCCTATCCTGGGGGTGCTCCCAGCTCCCAGGTCTCAGCTGAACCTGTGTCTGAGGATGGAGTCCGCGGCCGACGTCCCCCCCCCCTGTGACCAGGACACGCGGACCACCGTGGACGCAGATTCTCAGGACGGCGTTGACAGGACTGCGGAGTCGTCTGAACTTTCTGGCTTGGCGTCCGTGCACACGGAGAGCACGGACGACGTGGAGCTGGACGACAACATGGTCTGTCTGGAGGACGTGGAAAAGGAGGAGGAGAACTTCTCCTACGTCCTCCTGGACAATCCTGACTCCTCCCAGCAGAAGATTCCCAACAGGGACAGCGGTATTGACAGTCCGTCGTGCACCGCGGAGGAGGAGATCTTCTCCAACGGCGACGCCATCGACGAGGAGGATCATTACGACAGCGTCACAGAAACAGAGAGCGTGTCCTGCTGCGTTACCATCGGCAACAAGAGGGACTCCACGCAGGACGAGGACAGTGACTTAGACGAGGGGAGCAGTGGGGAGGTGCCCCCGCTGCCCGACCCCCAGGCTGGGTTTTTAACAGAGGCACCGTCAGAGAACCAGAAGGTGAGTACCCTACAACAACACCAACAACAACTATAACTACACCAACAATTACACCAACAACAACTACAACTACACCAACTACAACTACACCAACAACTACACCAACAACAACTACACCAACTACAACTACACCAACAACAACTACAACAACTACACCAACAACAACTACACCAACTACAACTACACCAACAACAACTACACCAACTACAACTACACCAACAACTACACCAACAACAACTACACCAACAACTACACCAACAACAACTACAACTACACCAACAACAACAACACCAACAACAACTATAACTACACCAACAATTACACCAACAACAACTACAACTACACCAACTACAACTACACCAACAACTACACCAACAACAACTATAACTACACCAACAACTACACCAACAACAACTATAACTACACCAACAACTACCCCAACAACAACTACAACTACACCAACAACAACAACACCAACAACAACTATAACTACACCAACAACAACTACACCAACTACAACTACACCAACAACAACTACAACAACACCAACAACAACTATAACTACACCAACAACTACCCCAACAACAACTACACCAACAACAACTGCAAGAACTACAACTACAACAACTACACCAACAACAACTACAACTACAACAACTATAACTACACCAACAACAACTACAACTACAACAACTATAACTACACCAACAACAACTACAACTACAACAACTATAACTACACCAACAACAACTACAACTACAACAACTATAACTACACCAACAACAACTACAACTACACCAACTACAACTACACCAACAACAACTACACCAACAACAACAACAACTACAAACTTATGGGGCTTAGTGGTTAAAGAAGTGGCTTTGGGTCCAGAAGGTTTCAGGTTCGAGTCCACCAGCTGCCAAGGCACTGAGGTGCTGTGAGCAAGGCACCGTTCCCACACACTGCTCCCCGGGCGCTTAAAGCTGCCCCCTGCTGGCTGTGAGGGGTTAGAAGCAGAGGTCACATTTGGTCGTGTGCAGTGGTGCAGTGGTGCAGTGGTGTGACAGCAGGCCAGGGTTCAGAAGTTTGAAAACTTTGATGACGTCAGTGTTTAAAGATAACTGGTCTGATTGACAGGACACACACACCCACAGACAGGAAGTGTGTCGTCAGACTTCCTGTCAGAGCTGCAGCAGCAGGTTAGATCTTTGATGAGGTTTGAAGTTGAGTTGAAACCTCACAACAACCAGGACTGAAGATGAAAAACAACCTGGTCATTCACCTGGTACGTCTACTGTTACCATCGCCCTGGTCTCTGTCTCAGCTGGACTAGTCCACTGGTATAACCCTGTCTCATTTGAAGTCAACTAGTATCAAGTCAGTACCATGTAACAATCTTCACGGACCAGAGGTAGCTGGTTTATGGACCAGAGGTAGCTGGGTTACGGACCAGAGGTAGCTGGGTTACGGACCAGAGGTAGCTGGGTTACGGACCAGAGGTAGCTGGGTTACGGACCAGAGGTAGCTGGGTTACGGACCAGAGGTAGCTGGTTTACGGGCCAGAGGTAGCTGGTTTATGGACCAGAAGAGGTAGCTGGTTTAACCAGAGGTAGCTGGTTTACAGCTGGTATCAAGAGTAGAAAATGTCTGAGAGAATTGTGTCAGACAGGGTTAATGTTACAAAACCAGTGGGGAAGGAAGTGTGTGTGTGTGTGTGTGTGTGTGTGTGAGATCACAGTCATAGTCAACGTTGAGATGCAGTTTAATGACAGCTCTGACTCTGAGGAAGTTCTGACGTTGACGTCTGGTACCAGAGGACGGTTGGTCTGAACGTCTGACCCAGTTCACAAAACAACAAACCAGTTAATGAGTTAAAGACAACTGACACAGTTGGACTAATGAGAAGAAGGTCACATGGTTCAGGTGACCAGGTGAGGGGAGGAGACCCTGACACTGTTGTCAATGTTAATCTGTGTGTGTTTCTCTCCTCCGTGGTTCCCTTCAGTTCTCCGAGGACCAGAAACTCCTGAACATCGCCAAAGAGCTCCTCCACACTGAAGAGGCCTACGTCAGGAGACTCAACCTTCTGGACCAGGTACCAGGACCAGCTGGAGACCAGAGTCTCACGCTTTTAGATTATCTCCAGACCTTTGACCTTCACACAATTCACTTGTTGTTTTTGACCGGTCAGGTGACTGGTCAGGTGACTGGTCAGGTGACTGGTCAGGTGACCGGTCAGGTGACTGGTCAGGTGACCACAGACAGAGTCTCTGTCACTGTTGTGAATGTTGTTTGTAGAGCCAACCTGCCTCATGTTTATCTCCTCACTCACACTCACACACTCACACAGCCGTAGTATGTCCTTTCCATGGAAACGGTGGTTGAATCATTTTGACAGTTCAGTGGAAAACTGAAAAAAAAAGTTTTGCGTTATTTTCATTCTGCTGACGTTGACTTTGACAACTTTATAGACGCTGTAGACTGTGTCCTGTTAAAGTGATGGATCAGTAGGGGGCGCTGTGACACTGATATTTATAAACACACAGATCAGCTGATACCAGTGACAACTTTATAGACGCTGTAGACTGGTTGTCCTGTTAATATAAATGTAATATAAAATAACTAAAAAACAATTAATTCGTTCTCCAGAAATAAAAAATAAAATAAAATAACCCAGAGAGGGAGACAGCGCCACACAGTGGTCACTGGATGTTGTGGTAACTGTAGATCAGGAGGTGGTTATTGTTGCTGTGTTGTTGATTGTCATCTCACTGATTAGTACAGGTTTATCATCACCATTAGTTTGATGTATATATAACTAGTATAACTATAAGGATGTGAACAAGTATATGAACAGTATCAATGGTTGACTAGTTCAATAATACAACTAAATAAACAGTTATATAGATATATATGTGTTTTAGGACCAGATTTATACGACCATCATTACCAGGAGTTACTGTACACTGTATTATATATAAATATGTAATATAATATAATGTAATGTAATGTAATGTAATGTAATATAATATAATGTAATATAATATAATATAATATAGGATAGATACTAGTCATGTATTTATACACAGTATATATGTTATAAATAAGCACGTATACATAAACATATAGAAACATATACTCAGGATATAAAATAGTCAGACTCCTCACACTTGTGTGTGTGTGTGTGTGTGTGTGTGTGTAGGTATTTTGCACTAAGCTGACGGAGGCAGGAATCCCTCAGGAGGTCATCACTGGGATCTTCTCCAACATCTCCTCCATCTACTGCTTCCACGACAAGTTCCTGTTTCCTGAGCTGAAGACACGCATCACTGGAGAATGGTGAGGGGGGGGGGGGGGGGGGGGTCCTGGTCCAGTCCTGGTCCAGTCCTGGTCCAGTCCTGGAGATTGGCTGGGATTATTATTCTGACCCAGGAAGTCGTTCACAGTCAGTGTTCATACTCTGACCTGGAGACGACCTCCAGGGTCGTGGTGACCCCTGACTGAAGGTCTTTGACCTGACCTTCTAGAGTCTTCTCTCTGCAGGGATTCGAACCCTCGGATCGGAGACATTCTCCAGAAACTGGCTCCATTTATGAAGATGTACGGAGAATATGTGAAGAACTTTGACCGATCCATGGACCTGGTCAACACCTGGAACCAGAGGTCATCGCAGTTCAAGAGCGTGGTCCAGAACATACAGGTACAGCTGCTGCCACCTCCTGATCCTTGTTGTTGTTGTTGTTGTTGTTGTTGTTGGTTCCAGTTCCAGTTCTGACTGATTCATTAATAACGTGTGTGTGTGTGTGTGGATGAGAAGAAGCAGGACGTGTGTGGGAACCTGACGCTGCAGCACCACATGTTGGAACCCGTCCAGAGGATTCCTCGTTACGAGCTGCTGCTCAAAGACTACCTGAAGAAGTTACCAGGAGACGCCCTGGACCGCAAGGACGCCGAGAGTGAGACACACACACACACACACACACACACACACACACACACACTGACCAGTTTCATTCAATGCTGCTGGTGTGAACTTCTTCTTCTTCTTCATCATCATCATCATCATCATCTGGTCCACAGAGGCCCTGGAGCTGATCTCCACTGCAGCCAACCACTCCAACGCTGCCATCAGGAAGATGGTGAGACAAACCCCCCCCCCCCCGTTCTCTGGGTCTGTGACTCATCACTGTTTTATTTTTATCAGTGAAGACGTTGATTATTGATAAAGGTTGGACTTCAACCTGTAAATGCAGTATTTCAGGAACAACTGCAGTAATACTTCAAATACTTTTTAGAAAAACATTTTATACGTGCAGTAAATTCTACTTTTTATCAAATAGGTTTGCAGGTCAAAGGTCAAGGCCCAGAGACTCTACTTGGCTTACTTTGTAAATCATTAACTAGTTGTTTCTGCAGTAATGGGTCAGTTGTGTGTACTGTGTGTATATTTGTACACAGGTATGTATGTTTTATTACTAATTATGTTGTTGTTATTTTGATCACTCCTCATCTCTGCTGTACAGACAGGAAGTCACTGTTTCCTGGTTTCACAGCTCACAGACATATTCTGCTCCTCAGCTCCCCCCTCTGTCTGTCCATGACAACTGCAGGTCCCACTGTATCTAATGACTGAGGCGGACGTTTGAATTAACCAGGAGTTGAACCGACAACCTCCTTCCTACTCTTCTTCTGACTTTTGTCTCCCCCTGCAGGAGAAGATGAACAAACTGCTGGAGGTGTACGAGCGTCTGGGTGGAGAAGAAGACATCGTCAACCCGGCCAACGAGCTCATCAAGGAGGGACACATCAAGAAGATGTCGGCCAAGAACGGAACGGCTCAGGACCGATACCTCTACCTGGTACAACACTCACATCCTGTCTGTGTCCGTCTGTTAACGCTGTTGTTAACGCTGTTGTTAACGCTGTTGTTGTTGTTGTTTTTCTACTTCCTGTTCAGTTCAACAACATGCTGCTGTACTGTGTTCCTAAACTCAGGCTGATGGGACAGAAGTTCAGTGTCAGAGAGAAGATCGACATCGTTGGGATGGAGGTGTGTGTGTGTCTGTGTGTGTGTCTGTGTGTGTGTGTGAGTGTGTGTGTGTTTCCTCATCTTTTCTCCTCGTCTCCAGGTTCAGGTCAATGTGAAGCAGAATCTTCCTCACACCTTTGCCATCATTGGAAAGCAGCGTTCCCTGGAGCTTCAGTCCAGGTGAAGACTGACCACATGACTGACCACATGACTGACCACATGACTGACCACATGACTGACCATCAAAGTACATCAAAAGACTTCAGGCACATGATCAAAGATGTTAAGCTACTGCTTCAGACTGAAGTGGTGTCTTACCACCTCAGTCTGAAGCAGTAGCTCCAGGGTCAGACACTGACCTCTGACCTCTGTGTACTCTCTAAGTACTTTGTCCTGTCAGAGCCCTGAGACTACAGACTACAGACCTGAGACTACAGACCTACAGACTACAGACTACAGACCTGAGACTACAGACTACACACCTACAGACTACAGACCTACAGACTACAGACTACAGACCACAGACTACAGACCTACAGATTACAGACCACAGACTACAGACCTACAGACCACCGACCCACAGACCTCAGACTACAGCCCTACAGACTACAGACTACAGACTACAGACCACAGACCTCAGACTACAGCCCTACAGACTACACACCTACAGACCTCAGACTACACACCTACAGACTACAGACCTACAGACTACACACCTACAGACCTCAGACTACAGACTACAGACTACAGACTACAGACCACAGACTACAGACCTACAGACTACACACCTACAGACTACAGACCTACAGATTACAGACCACAGACTACAGACCTACAGATTACAGACCACAGACTACAGACCTACAGATTACAGACCACAGACTACAGACCTACAGACCACCGACCCACAGACCTCAGACTACAGAAGACTACATGATGAAAACATTTCTTCAGACGTGAACCTTCTTCGTAGAAATTGATTTTTTAGCTGAGAATCTTTGCAGACACATGAACTCATCATCTGTGTGTGTGTGTGTGTGTGTGTTGTACAGGACAGCTGAAGAGAAGGACGACTGGATTCAAGTAAGGACACACTGCAGCCATGTAGACTAATGAAAGATAGACGCCATAATGAAAAGACACGGTGACTGTGATCAATAATCACCCCCTCCACCTCCCCCCTCCCCGTTCTCCCCCAAAGGTGATTCTGGCCACCATCGAGAAACACAAACAGAACAGTGAAACGTTCAACAAGGCGTTCAACAGTTCCTTCTCCAGAGACGACGACTGTCCTGAGTCACCGGTCAGTCACTCCACCGTCAGTCACTCCACCGTCAGTCACTCCACCGTCAGTCACTCTGTCAGGGGTCCTGTCACTGGACTGTACTGATCCAGAATGTTCTCTGGACTCCAGAGGACTCAGAACTCCTGTGGTTCTGCTCTGACCTACTTTGAGCTGGACCTGGGCCAACAGTCTGTACTGATCCAGAGGACAGTGAGACAGTCAGTCTACACTGACACCTAGTGGACGCCGTGTCTGGTCTTAATAAAGTACAGTGTGTGGAGGATGTTCTCCTCACTAACAAGACAGAACCTGAAGATTCTTGAGAACCAACTGTGTTGTCTCTGTCCCTCAGGGTCCCTGGAGTCCCACGGCACTGGACTCAGACGGTGAGAGGCTGCGAGAGAGGGTGAGCTTTGATTTTCTGCTGAGACTCAACTCTGACTCACCTGAACCCACACTCTTTACAAACGCTTCAATATTTCATCCAGAAAAGTTCCAGGAAAAAGGAGAAAGAGAAGCAGACGTGTAAAGGCTGCAGCGAGAACTTCAACTTCACCAAACGCAAACATCACTGCAAGTCCTGTGGAGCAGTGAGTAGAAGAAGAAGAGGGGGGGGGGGGGGGGGGGGGGGTGAGGTTCACTGTTGATCTCTCTCTCTCTGGCTCCATCTGCAGGCCATCTGTGCAAAGTGTTCAAAGACCCTGGACAACAAAACCAGCCGAGTGTGTCCTGAGTGTTTTGAGGCCAGTCTGAGTCTGGAGGGTGAGCAGAGGAAGAAGACGTCAGCTGAGGTGGGGGGGGGAGGAGGGGGGGGTGGCCTCACTGCAGGAAGGGCACTGCTTTAGAGAACCTGGACACACACACACACACACACACACACAGAGAAAGAGCAGCGAGAAAGAGCAGCAGTTAGAGCTGGGAATTGAACCTGTGACCTTCCTGCTGTGAGGCAGACACCTGTTTTTCCAGTGTTTTTCCTCCTGTTTGTACCATTGTTTTGACACGTTGACGTGTGTGTCCAGAAACAGTGGTCTCTGTCTGGACAGAACTGTTTACTGTGTGGACACCTGCTGGTGCAGGAGCAGGGCAAGAACTGGGCCAAGATGTGGGCCGCGGTCACCAGGGCAGAACCATCGGTTCTGTATTTACAGAGCAGTGGACAGGTGAGAGGACACACACACACACACACACACGACTGCAGTGGTGACGAGGAGGTCAAAGGTCAACACTGCTCTCTTACTTTTATTTTGAAGGAGTCTAAAGGAGCACGGGCGGTGCCCCTTCTGGGTTTCACCGTCAGTGAAACAGCGCCACCTGCAGCTGAGAAGTCAGAGTTCAGGCACGGCCTGCGCCTCAGTGACTCCCATCAGACTTTACTCCTGAACGCTGCCGACGCTGAACTCCAGGCCAAGTGGATGGAGCTGCTCCTCAGAGCCACCCGTGAAGAAGTGTCCATGGATGGATGAGCCGAGGAGGAGGAGGAGGAGGAGGAGGAGGAGGAGTGTTCACTCCCCCGCTGCCCTCACCTCCCCCCCTCCCTCCCTCCCTCTCCTGTGTTAAAAGCACACATTACTTGAATTCACTTTACCTTGGCACTTTTTTAATTGTTGTTACGTGTACCCCCCTGACCCCTGACCCCCGACCCCTGACCCCCCACTCCACCACACCATCACTCCTTCTGACTCCTTTTCTCCCGGCTCCTCCTGCAGTTTGAAGTAGAGACACAAGATTAAAACATGGCCGACACCCGTGCACGTAGACGTCCGTGTGGTCAAGACACCACGGTGGAAGGACTTTGGACTTTATAGAAGTTAAAACAGTGACGTCTGGACATCATAGATCTGGACATCATAGATCTGGACATCATAGATCTGTGGTGTGAAGCATTAACTGTCTGTGTGTTTGTGTGTGTGTGTGTGTGTGTGTGTGTGTGCGTCCACTACCATTTTCTCCTCAGTATTGAATGTCAGTGTGGACCTTCATCATCATCGTCATCATCATCATCGTCCTCGTGGTCGTCGTCCTCTCTCCTCATTGGTCGTTCTTTATCTATTGTACAGTATCTATTCTATAATATGATTTAAATAAAATGAGAAAATGAAAAAACACATTTAACTTTAAGAACAGACTGTAAACCTGTGGTCGTCCACCCTCCCTCCCTCCCCCCCTGTGTGGTCGTATCTTCTTCTTTTAATGTGATTTCAAAATAAGAGCAGGAATCGATCAGAGTTTTTTACTAAAAACAGATGATCAACAAACAGACGCTGTTGTTCACTCAGTGACAAGTGCGCCCTCTGCTGGTTCTCCTGTAATTACATCTACGTGTGCGTGGGTTCATAATGATTGGGCGTTCACTGACCACAGGTGAAGTGTCCAGGGTTGGTCCCCGCCCCTCACCCAGAGACTGTCCTGATTGGCCTCTAACAGATCAGAGTTTATATGCAGTATATACAGTATACATGAAGTACTGCAGTACTCTAGTATTCCCCAAACCTTTACTAGCACAGATGTTTAAAATGTGTTGATTGTGATTCTCCGACTGACTTCAGTTCCAGGAAGAGGAAGTGGTTACAAGTCAACACACACACACACTTGATGTGTGTGTGTGTGTGTGTGTTTCTCTCTGACAGGAAACCAACATCAGTACATTCAGATCAAAGGGTTTTTGTCGTTACCAAGTTAGTTACAGTTCCACCGTATTTGGGGGGAGGGGGGTGTGGGGGGGGTCAAAAGATCACAGTCGACGCATTCATATGAAATACATGATTTCAATATTAACTGTAGTATTTGTATTATTTATACATGACTGACATTTCAGTTTCACTCTGTGTGTGTGTGTGTGTGTGTGTGGACACTGTTTTTCTGGAACCTTTTCTTGTTTCTTTTGCATTTATCATGCAACACTGGTGAAGACGAGGAAGAGGAAGCAGGTGGTGAACACACACACACACACACACAGACAGACGAAGAGTTGACTTCCAGCCTGACAGTCTCTCCGTCAGCTCCGTCACCTCCGTCAGTCTGATGGTCTGGACTCTGGTCCCAGGAACTCCTCTGGTGAGTGAAGCTTCATCGACAGTCACGTCTGCTGAGAAAACGGTACCAGGTACTAGTCACCTGGTACTGTCTGGTCACCTGGTACTGTCTGTTCACCTGGTACTGTCTGGTCACCTGGTACTGTCTGGTTACTCTGATACTAATTAGCTGAATGGAAGTTCTTCTAAAAATGTTAAAAAAACAGTTAAAGGTCAAAGGTGAACTAAAAGTCAACCATGAACAAACGTTAGCTAGCTAGTTAGCGACAGGAAGATGAAGCAGTACAAACCAGAGTACTACTCTAGTACTACACGTGTGTACTGTACCTGAGTCCTGCCCACGGTCACAGCTGGACCTCATGTTCCTCAGGGTTAGAAACTGGGGGGAGGGAGGGGGCAAAGGTCGGGGGGGTCAGTAGGTCTGCAGATTTTTATTTATTTATTTTAGTGTTGCAGCAGTTCCCTCTCCCCCCAGCAGTTGGCGCTCCAGGTAATCAACTATTTAACCAATGTCAACAGTGGGCTATAGGTTCAGATCACTAGTTCAGATCACTGGTACAGATCATTGGTACAGATCACTAGTTCAGATCACTGGTACAGATCATTGGTACAGATCACTAGTTCAGATCACTGGTACAGATCATTGGTACAGATCACTAGTTCAGATCACTGGTACAGATCACTGGTACAGTTCACTGGTACAGATCACTGGTACAGATAAATAGTTCAGATCACTGGTACAGATCACTGGTTCAGATCACTAGTTCAGATCACTGGTTCAGATCACTAGTTCAGATCACTGGTTCAGATCACTAGTTCAGATCACTGGTTCAGATCACTAGTTCAGATCACTGGTTCAGATCACTGGTACAGATCACTGGTTCAGATCACTGGTACAGATCACTGGTACAGTTCACTGGTACAGATCACTGGTACAGATAAATAGTTCAGATCACTGGTACAGATCACTGGTTCAGATCACTGGTTCAGATCACTAGTTCAGATCACTGGTACAGATCATTGGTACAGATCACTAGTTCAGATCACTGGTACAGATCACTGGTACAGATAAATAGTTCAGATCACTGGTACAGATCACTGGTTCAGATCACTAGTTCAGATCACTGGTACAGATCACTGGTCTTTGCAGCGTTCCTTGTCGTCTGTAGTTTTCCTCAGACTGAACTGTTGATCTTCCGTCTCCTCTGACGTCACGACCCGCCTCCTCCTTTAGCCCCGCCCCTGACCCAGTGTTCTCCCGTGCCTCTGCCGGCCCTGGGCACCCAGAAAATCCTGCAGGGCAACGGCACGTCCGTGGGCACCGTCATCGTCCGGCAGTGTCCGACCAAACACCGGCTGATGGGGAAACGTCTGACGTGTGTCGTGGACAGAAACCTCACCCGCTGGGAGGGGGAGTCCTACTGTCAACGTGGGTGAAGACGGAGACAGAGACGTAACATCACGTATCAAGAGGTGTCCTCTAAATGATGAAATACTGATGGAACGACTGACTGTCTGTTGACTTCAGCTCTGAGTCCGTTCTCCGACGATGGGTTCCACGTGGCCGTGGTGGCGTCCATCCTCAGCGTGGCCGTCATCCTGCTCATGTCCATGGCCTTCATCACCTGCTGCTGGGTCGACTGCAACATAGAGAGCGAGAAGAAGAAACAGAGGTGAGTACTACACGCTACTACTGCATACTGTGGCTCGTAGTATGCAGTACTACACGCTACTACTGCATACTGTGGCTCGTAGTATGCAGTACTACACGCTACTACTGCATACTGCGGCTCGTAGTATGCCGTAGTACACGCTACTACTGCATACTGCGGCTCGTAGTATGCAGTACTACACGCTACTACTGCATACTGTGGCTCGTAGTATGCAGTACTACACGCTACTACTGCATACTGTGGCTCGTAGTATGCAGTACTACACGCTACTACTGCATACTGCGGCTCGTAGTACTTCTGCTGTCGTAGATGTCAAGTTCAGGGATTCAGGTTAACGAGATGAAATAGTAGAAACTGCAGTTTAGGTTGACCTTCGGAGTACACTGCAGTACAGGTGGGTACTTTGGTCAGTAGTTCTGAGTCGCAGCTGTTTTAAACAGTTCATTACAGGAAATCATTGAAACTGAAAGAATGGACGAAGGTTGTTGGTTCAAATCCTGTAGAGTTGGAGACGAGGCAGAGAAGATTTCAAGTCAGATAAATGATTGTGTTGTTTCATCACAGCCTCAAAGAAACAAACAACAACAACAACAACAACAGCAGCAGCAACAACAGCAAGGCCAACAGGTGGCGTCCTCAGGACCATAAACACATCTTCAGGTGAGGTGATGGTGGAACCTCTCTTGTCTCTTTCTTTCTTCCAGAAGAACCTGAGAACCAACAGTGATCACTATCATCAGAGGGTTGCTGGTTCAATCCCCAGGTTCCTGCACTGTCCAAAAACACGAATACTGTTCACTCTTAACTGACTGTAGGTGTGAATGTGAGTGTGAATGTGAGTGTGGTGGACAGTAGAACAGTGGAACAGTAGAACAGTAGAACAGTGGAACAGTGGAACAGTGGAACGGTGGAACAGTGGAACGGTGGAACGGTGGAACGGTGGAACGGTGGAACAGCCAGTGAAGATAAAGGAACTGTTGACACGTCAGAACTTTCAGAACTTCATTCTTCTCTTCTGATATAAAAACATCGGTTCTATTTCTGTCTGTCTTCTCAGATGTCCACAAAACTTTGTCCAAGTACCGGTCTTCACCCATGGATGGCGCTCTCTGCTCATTGCTCCACTTGGGAATGACTACAACCAACCTCTGCCAGGACAGAATCTTCACCAGAACCAGAACCAGTACCAGTACCAGAACTCAGGGCCGTCTGTGTCCTGCGGTCAGAACCACAGTTGGACTTCTCCGTCCACAGCACCAGAACCAGAGGTGGAGCAGCGGTGCGGAAGACTCCAGAACCTTCTGTCCACTGAAGAAAACGTCGTCATGAAGAGTTTAGATCCAGCAGAAGAATTCTCTCTCAGACTCATGTCAGTGTGAACGACAGACGGACCAGAAGTCAGGACCAGGAACCACAGACAGCGTATGAACTCTCCTGCTGCCTGGATCTGAACTGTACAGTAAACCTTACTAGTTTAACTAGTTAAACCTGCAGCATGAGGTGGTGGAGAAGCTGAGACTGTGTTCGTGTTCAAACTCATTAAAGCGTTTTTCCTCCGTCGTCTGTGTTCGTTCAGTGTATTATATTATTCTTTTCCAGGAGCTTGTGGACGTGTGCAGTACCACGGACACTCACAGGGGCGCTGTTGCCCCGTGTAGCTATCGTCCGCCCATAAAGAGAACAAGAAGAAGACAAGGAGGAAACAACAACAGAAGTGTTTGAAGCGGGGACAAGAAGTCGTCGTCCACACGCTGCTGTGTCTCTAATGTCCACACGGGGACCAATACCGTCTCTTATTGTTGTTATTATTTGGACCTCCTCCTCCGCGGGAACTCCTCCACTGCCGCCATGTTTGTTACGATCTGAGAAAGTTACGGCGACCGGAAATGAACTCTGAACTCAGCGCTGTCCTCTAGCGGATGCATTTCTTAACAACAACGTTAAATGTAAGGGTCATTGAAACGCTCTCACTCCGTTTGACATTTAAATATGTGAATAAAACACGAGCTGTAACAAAGGTAACTCATGGCTGGAGTAGATTTCAGTCAAAGGAAAGTGTTTCTTTAATAAAGTCCAGGGAATATTCTGGATCACAGTGAACGAGTCTGTTCATCTTCAGGTTCCACACAGTCTCTCAGTGAAGTCAATAATCTGTGACTGTGAGAGGGTTTGGACCTTAAGCTCATCTCACTCCGAACCTCTGAGCTCTGTGCTCTGCTGTGCCTCCGCCACAAGGGGTCACTGGTGCAACAGTCAACAGCCTTATGTGTAGTCCGACCACAGACCAGAGGTCAGGACTAAATCCACTGTACTTAAAAATAAGTAAATATGATGAAGTCATTTGTTCACGTCACATGTGCTGTAATAACACGGTGTGAAGATGAAGCTGACGGTGCTGA